ATATAGTGAGTTTTAATAGCCATAAAAGAGCTTATCCATGGCCACTGTGAAAAATACATCAAGCTCTTCAGATGTGATGGGGAAAAGTTTAAACCCCATATTTTATGTACATGTCAAAGCCTTTGTACTGTCTCCAAATAATAAGTCTGTTTTAAAATTCCTAATATTTCTGAAACTAACGCAAAAGTTCTCTTTACCACAGTATACAATGTGCAGTGTCTTTAACAGACAGCTATTTGTGCTTGTGCTACTGTAAGCCTCACAGATTTTCTCTTTGTTGAAAAGATGCGTTTTCATTTTAGATAAATGTTTTATATGTTTATGGAAGACATTTAACAGGTTTTTGTTTGTGTAGTGAAAGAGACCGAGCAAATGAGGGAGAAAGGGGAAGGAAGAGAGACAGAACAGAGAGAGATAAGCACAGGAAGAGAGAGGGGGAGAGAGAGATGTCTTCAGTCTCTCTACTCCCAGTGGGCAGGACCTCCCCCTACATTTCTGCCATTATTTGATGTAATGAAAGGAGAAAGTGTGTAACATTGAGATTGTTAATTAATTTAGTCTAACAAGATGAAGATAAATGAAGCCCACTGAAGGTTGACTAGGCTAAGGGGCCCACTTAGCATTCCTACTGCCCTCGAGCTCTGTCTCTCTCTCTCCTTTACAATGGAGCACAGCTAATAGGTGCAGCACCGTGTTTGTACAAACCCGCTGAGCTCTCACTCAGTAAGTTTAGATGTGGACCTTTTTGACAAAATATTTAATTTCCCGCTTCTATTTATCATATTCTTATCTCTTTGGGATATTTTAATTTCCAAACGGCTGGGCTGCATTTGTAACACAGTTAGTTTTGGAGCATAGATATGCAATTATCTGATTGAGTCATCTTGACATGTTAGATAAAACTCAGTTGACATACATGACTGACTTTTTAAATATATGTATAGAAAAGCACTGGTCAAATGTTAATAGATACATTATTCTTCTGCAGACACCTTGTAGTCTACTTGTGGATAACAAACGCACCTTTTATTATCTTCTGCTAGAGATCAGTTATATTTTTTCTGAAATGGCGGAAGGTTATATAAATGGCTATTCTCTCCAGCAACTATGTGGCCCCTTCACATGAGTCTGTGACTCCCAGCCTTTCACCGTGTGAATGGTTCTTCTCTAATGCGGCTTGGGGGCTATTTGAGCGGCAAGACAGACAAAAAGCAGAAAGGACTTTTTTTTTTTTTTTTTTTTTTTAACAAAGCTAGACAGTTGTCTTCATCCAGAGCCCTTACAACCAAATCAGTAGTCTATCGAGGTCCTTCCTCAGTGGACACTTTGTGCAGGATCTTCATGGCAGCACAGACCAATCATTATGGCACCCATTCT